GGCCCCCCGCCTCGGCTCCTGCCCTCCCCGCAGCCGGCGGCTGCACTGGCTGGGGTGCAGGGCAGGTGGCTGTAGCCCAGGCCCAGCCACACCTGGGGTTCTGTCCTTCTCAGAGCTGCAGAGATTCCTGGCCCTGCCCCAGGCCGCGGGGCAGGGAAGCCGGGTGGGGTCTGTACAGGGCAGGCTGAGCCCTGGGGCCGCGGGTGGCGTGCCGGTACGTGGCGGGGCTCAGGCTCCCCGTGTGCTGGACAGGGCCCTTGGGATTTCGGTTTCCAGCATCACTGCCCTCCCTTCCCGGGCACTGAGCTTGCCAGGTGCGGACACGAGTGTCGCCTGGGCTGTGCCGTGCCGCCTGTCGTGGTGTGGGTACCACCCAGACATGGTCTTTGCTCACGTGCATGGCTTCAGAGGGGAGCCTGTGGCAGGACAGCGCCAGGTCAGCCCTGCCCAGTCAGCCTGTCCAGGCAAGAGGGGCAGCTCCGTTGTACCCCGGGCTCTGGTGGGCCCCGGATTTGGAGCCACCTGAGCTCAACCCAGGGACAGTCAGCATCGCCCTGGTGGGCAGGGCCTGGTGGGCACCATGTGGCAGAGGCACCCACCGCACCACCTGCTCTGGGTCCCCAAGCCGACGAGCTGTGGCCAGGGGTGGGCCGGGCGGTGTGGGCGTCGGCCCGCCCCCGGCCCGGCGTCCGTGGTGGGTCACCCTGGTCTCGTCTCTCGCCAGGCCTGGGTTCCTATTCTCCAGACCCGCCAGGCTTCGGCCCCTACTTTGTTTACACCCTTTTGGTCAGGCTGAGCAGTGACGTGGCCTAGGTAGGTGTCGCCTCTCCCTCCACGGCCCGCCACCTGCACCCCCAGTCGGGACCTCCGACGGGCTTCCTCCCGGGCAGTGGGCAGGAGCCAGGCCCGCCCCTGCCACATGAAGAGCACGCTGTCACCTTGCCCGGCAGCCCTGCCCCGCAGCCAAGCTCCCTGGGCCTGAGGCCCCTGCAGGGTAGAAGGGCTGCCCGGCCCAGTCAGCCTGCGGGCACAGCCGCCCGCTCAGCGAGGAGGCTTTGTGGCACCAAGGTGGGCCCAGAGGCCTTTTCCCCACAGGTGCAGCCGGTAGGCAGCCAGGATGCCGCCAGTGTCTTGGCGGGGCGTCCGCCAGGTGGGAGTCCGGTGTGGGCGACGGCCCGGAGGCCGCAGGGACACAGGGCTGCTGTGGG